TCTCTGTATCTATTTGCAGAGCAGCACGAGTACTTTACTTCTTCACGATGATTATTTAAACCACCTCTTCCCTGCATATGAAATGAAAGCCATTATGGGGAGTACCACCTGTGTAAGGGAAGCACACAAGTGGTACAAACACTGGATGTTCGGGAGCCTTCCAAATCTCACTTTAATATATGACAGATGGTGTGAAAAAAGCAAGCTCACGGTCAGAGAAAACCCTTCTCTCCTAAAGAGGAAGTCTTGCTAGGCAGCTTTCTCACTTCTAAACGGAAAATTCACAACAGATAAAAAGCAAGTTAAGGCTTTCTGATATGAAGCACATAACTTTCCAGGAGAACAGTGATTTTTCTTTATCTACCATTTATACAGTTAACATTAACATCATTTCAAGGGGAGTTTCTTTAGGCAAGGAAGCACAATATTGTCCCCTTTCATGAATTTCAGAAATATTAATTTCCACTGCACCGAAAAATCTCACTAAATGTGCCACATCAAGGTAATTCTAAAGTTGTACAGTACAGAGCCCTTTTTTTTTTCCAGTCCCACTTTATTGATTACAGAAAGGTCAGCTAAGCAGAAACCTTCTAAAATACAAACCTTTGCATATATAAAATCTGTTCAGTGAGTATTTACTGTAAGACCTGTGCATCCTTTACTCTTAATGGACAAGGGAACTGGTATAAAGCAGATACAGATAATACTTACAGCACTAACAGAAAATTTACTGTAATTAATTAACTCCCTGCATGCTATTCAAGTGGTAAATCCTTGCCTAAATTACCTTGATCTAATGCTACCTGTTGGTTCCAGGCAATGTAATTAATCCAAATGTCAAGGGAGATGGATGCTTTAAATAATTAGCGATCCTCTTCGATGACTGAAATCTCAAAGTGCAGCTTTCATCAAACACACACTGCACTGAAATAAGACTATTTATGTTTCCCTCAGTGACTGAATGCCCACCTGAAATGTTGCACTGCTCTGGCCAAGGAAAAGAAGCAGAAAGGTAGAATAGTGTATGGTGTCTGTGCCAACACCGGAGCGCTCCAAGGCCCTGGCAGCACACTTTTAGGATAAGCTGCTCTACCACATCTTTGCCTAGCATCTAGGACAACAACTTTTATTCCATTTTCATTAACAACAGCCTGTGGCAATGATTGAACTACACCACTAGATGTGCAAACATTTTTTAATGGTTAGTCTTTCAGATGACACTGCTGTGACAAAGAGACTACCTTGACTGCCCAGGAGCACCACACTTCTGCATGCTGTATCCAGCAGCATGTTCTTTAAGCTTCTCAGTCCTAAGCCTCACCAATCTGATTCAAGCTCCTGTACGGACTACAGTGCAAATCTATGGATGTTTTAGCCACACCTGAAAGTTCAATATTGTGGTACTTCAGTCTTATTAGTCAGCACTGGATACTCAGAACCACATACACAAAACACAAAGAAGACTTAAAACGTCTTCCAAAATGCCTATTCAACAACTTGGAAATAAAAGATGGACAACGGGTTTTTCTGGACTTAGATTAGTGATTAGTGAAATAGACTAGTGATCCAGTGACTAAGATACACTGTGGGAAAACAGGACAAGTAAAGCTGAGTCTTCAGTGACATACAGGAGAATCTGACCAATGAATGAATGGGATGTTACGTAACCACACCATATTGCCAGCTCCTGACTGCCTTTGTGAACAAGGCACCCAGCTGCTCTGTTTGCCAGGACTTGAGTAGTCAAAATCAAGCAGGGAGGGTATAGGGCTGAGTATTTCCATGACTGTCCACTTGTTTTGGAGATTTAAAATCCACGCAAATCATACAGTACGCAGTAAAACAAGAGTGGAGCTATTATATATATATATGAGTCAACACACACGCTCTTCCTAGCCAAATATAAAGAGCATGGAAAACTTTTCCTTTCTTCAGCCAAAAGTCCTGTCCTATTTCCAGCTACTCCATGAAATGTGAAGACACAAATTCTTGCCTTGATTTCCCATCCAAACACACCACAGGTTGATAAAATTGTTTGAGCTTAACATTCTTTTCATTCACCTGACATTCTCCTGCCCATCTACAGCTTTGCCCTGTTGCTAAGGAAAAAAAAAAATATTTTTTCCTCACTACTCAGCTAATGCATCCTTAATTGTTCATCGGACTGTAGTGTTAACGGTGAGAGGTGACAGGCTGTGTATTTCAAGGTCAGAGAAAAACCAGCCTGTTAATGCTCTAGGTTATCAATCAGAGCAACAATAACTTAGGAAGCACAGTCCATCATTCTAAGCAATCCAGAGAGTTGCAAGGTATGTAAAGTGATGAAATGGTGTCAGCCAGGCCACATGGCTAAATGGAAAGTCATCTCGCTTGGTGGAGGCATAAGCAATTCTGATGGAACAAGCAGTTACTAAAAGTCAAAAGGTGGTGTGTGAGGACAGGAGTGTCACCAAACAGCACTGAACAGCTAAATAAATGTTGGGGCTTAGAATACAGAAATCTCAGCTACTTAGTGGTGTAACAACATAGTTAAAAGTCCCTTAGAACCTTTATTAATGATATAGAAAAAGAATCATTAAAAAAAAAAAAAACAACAACAAAAAACAAAACTGTAAGGTGTGCAAAGCAGAGGCTTTTCCAACACAAAACTGCATTCAGACAGACTTCACAGATGGCAATAGGAAGATTTAGTTAGTTAGAGAATGTGGGGGTCAAACAGGAAACAGAAACCAGTTCTTCAATCAATGATCATTTTCTTGTAGGCATTAATTGAAATTTTCAATACAGAGGATTTTGATGACAAGCTGGTGAATTAGTCTGGAGAGCATGAGTTCTGTAGTTATAGCTACCTTTCTCCTAAGGAGACACCAAGGTTTTTATGCTTTAACCCAATTAAGAAGAAAAGGTCCTCCATGAAATTACACTGACATGTAAACAGGCATCAACATTGTTAATGAGAATGGTCTGCCATATTATCAATTTGCTAATTTACATGAATGCCCTGACCCGAGGTGATCTGTCTAATAGGTGGATAGAAAACAGGCTGACTGGCAGAGCTCATAGCTGGAGAGAATCCAGCAGAGAGCTGTAAATATGATGCGGGATTGGAGCATCTCCCTTGTGAAGGAAGGCTGAGAGCCCTGGTGATGTTCAGCCTGAAGAGGAGAAGACTGAGAGGAGATCTTATCAATGCTTATCAATATTTAATGGGTGGGAGTCAAGTGAATGGGGACATACTCTTCAGTGGTGTCCAGAAACAGGATTAGAAGCAAAGGACACAAACTGAACGCAGGAAGCTCCATCTGAACATGAGGAAAATCTACTGTGAGGGTGACAGAGCCCTGGAACAGGCTGCCCAGAGAGGTTGTGGAGTCTCCTTCTCTGGAGATATTCAAAACCCACCTGGACAATTTCCTAAGTAACCTACTGTAGGGAACCTGCTATAGCAGGGGCTTGGACTAGTTGCTGGAGACCAAACGCTTGTGCAGAGACACAGGGAAACCTTGCAAATTAGTCAAACATGCTGCTGCCTGGAATGGAAAAAAGCACAGATTTAATTGGCTGAGCTGCCCTATTTCAACTGCTTATTAATCAAGAACAGAGGGACTTTTACAGCTTCATGTTTGGTACTGGCCTGGTGGGTGGCAAATCCAGCTAACTATTCATCCTTTTGTGTAGTGTCATCAGAATCGCAGTATGCAAGAGAAATTAAGCCAGCTTGTAAAGTAAGCCATATTGCAGGACAATTTTATAACTGTCCCTGCCACCAACAGAATGTATCTTCAAAAACAGAAACAGCTACAGCTCAGGTAAGAGCCCCCAAACCAAGCAGCAGAAGAGTGCAACCACATTACACTGTAAGAGCAATTAACACAACATTAATAAAAACTAAACAAAACAAAACAAAAAAACCACATGGTATTGAGGGAGGAAAGCAGATAAGGAGATGGCAGGGAGGTGAACACAACATAGCTCTGTGTCAAGAACACACAGTACCCAAGAGTTCAGTGACCGACTGCTGCTTTGCTCAGCCTCCTGCTTGTCAGATAGCTGCTATACTAGTTAAGAATTTATGCTTTTTGAGAAATGGTGAGCCTTATGCTAGCACTGAATAATCACTAATATCTTCCACTGATGTCATCACACTTCTTTGGGTGGTAATTATTAGGGAACCCTAAACACTGCCTTCTCTGGCCTTCAATAGCCTTTCCATGGATGGAATGGTATTTCAGCAGCATAACATAGTCCAAAACCAAAAGCAATTTCTTTATTTACATCATCACATTTCACAGCTGGAAGTTTAAGATGAAAGCAAATGAACTCATAGCTATCAAGACCATTCTTGATAATAGTTCACAAGTAACAAAACCAAAAATGTTAAGATGAAATACTGAGGAGAGCTGTAACCAGCTTTTTAATGGAAAAAGAGCAGGCTCTGTTACAGTTACTGCATATCACCATGGAAAAATATAATGGCTCTAAAAACTTTATAAATACTTGAGGAAAAAGAATCTAAGCAACTACTGAGCATGAAGGCAAATCTTTGTAAATGGAAGCAGCTGAAGTAGGGAGAAGCAGCATGCCAAAGAAATAACACACAAGATTTGCCTTCTGCAACAGTCAAGACAGGGTGAACACGGGTTCAAACACAGGGGATTTCTTGATGGCTTCTGAACAAACTGGCAAAGATTTTTCTGTTTCAATGTTAAAGCTGAACACAGGCTTCTAGAATAGCCCAGGTAACGCAGATGTATTATTTTACATCTTTCCTATAAAGAGCAATTTTAAGGTCACATACTTAGAGACTTCACCTATGCTATTATTCCATGGCATGAGTCCACAGCAGAATGGCTGCACTGCATTTATCTTGAGTGACCTCGCTACAGTACATTCCCCACACTGACACTGCTGCAGACTTCTAGATACTACAAGGAGACTATTTGAAGTATCTGGCTACACACTGTAACAGCCCAATTCTTAATCTTTCAGAGGAAACTCACCCCATCTGGTCTGCCATCCGAGGCTGTAACGATCAGAATATAGCGATCAGTGCTTTCTCTGTCCAAGGGCTTTCCTAAGGCTAGCAGTCCAGAACTAGTAACAAAACAGAAACATGAAACATTATCAAAACGACAATTTTTAAATTTCTATGAGCACTTTTGTTTCACTACTTTGCAATACATGACTTTTTCTCCTTGAGCAAGTTAATAAGCTCTAAAGGCTTCATTACAACTGAAAGCATGCTCTGTATAGGTAAAAGCTAATAAAAATGATGAGCAAATTTCTTTGCTTTCTCCTCCAATACATGTGTAATTCATGACTAAAATAGCAACAGTCATATACAGGATTACAGATAGACCTACAAAGGGCTCAAATTTGTTAGGAGGCCACAGTGCTATAATAAATGAGAGAGAACCACAAGCAGTCTATCAATCACAGAGGAGTCCCAATAGCACACTGACAGGATTACAGCACTAAGCTTTGGGAATACGACATGGTGGTTATAAATATGAATCTCCTTAGAGTTTTATAGGAAGAGGCTACTTACGTGCATGTTGCATAACTGCAATAAAGTGCTGCTACGAGCTACTGCTCATTCAGTGCAAGTACAAGATTTACTATATTCCCTAATAATAAAGTATTAACACACGTATGGATGTTGTGGAAAATAAATCATGATATTGTTACTATTGATGCTCATTTATGAAGAGAAAATGATGAAAGGCTATTTGGAGGCCATGAACACAAGGGATAAAATTAGCAATGAATTAAAGTGCTGCTTCAAAAGTGGGGCAAATTCCTGTAAATTTGCATTAAGCAACATGGACTTCATCTCTAGGATGTACTGATTTCCTCCTGCAGAATTCTGAAAGCTGTCATTGAGGTTCTCTAAAGCAAGACAGGGACCTATTGTGGACTCACGTGTTCTGAATTAGTAAAGATCAGAAATGCTTTTCTGAGTCAGTGGTCCTCTCCAAGCAAGCTAACCTCAGCTCAGCCTTCCTGGCACAACTGATCCTCCCATCACCAGTGCTAAAGCCAGGCTTTCTGTTTACTGGTTTTTGGTGTCTACTGGAACACTGTCAGTGAAGCAACAAATGGATGCCTCTCACGAACCCCACTCAATCCACACTGTATTTTCCAAATACACAGTGACAAACATGGGTAGACATTGGCATTTGTCCTCTTCTTGCATGGGTGAGTAGCTTCTCCTATGAAACTCCAGCAGACATGCCAAGTGCAGTTTGAAACATTTTAAGAAAATCATAACATATGATTTTTCTGCCTCGGTATGCAGTGACTTTCTACATTATTCCATTTAACTTTACGGGTACGTCAGAGACACAAGTCCTTGCTGGGCATAAGCGTAAATTTAACTGGTTGAATGTGATCTACATTCATAACCTAATAACAACTGCTTTCTTAAATGTCCCTATCTTTTCTTCATTTTCTAGAGCTGTGCATTTCTTTCTTTCTTAATATGCATTTTGAAACTATAAGATACCTCTAATGGTGCTCCTCTGTGGGGATTCAGCGAGGTATGGGGCAGCACAAATGTGGCCTCTAGGGCAGGAGTTGAGGTACAGAATGACACAAGATGCCCTGGGTTACAAGCAATTCACCAGTGGTCAGCTACTGATACACAGACCCAGGGGCTGCCCCAAACCAGTCTGGAGTCACAAAGAGAACAAGCAGGCATCCAAATATACAAAACACACCATACATATTAAATTCAGGTATTTAGCCAGGTTTACACAGAGAAGGGGAAGAAGATGTGTGATACAGAGCATGTTATCAAACAAAATAAAATTATCCTATAGTGAGCAGGAAGAAACCATGAACCCCCTTCTCCTCCTCCCAGGGCAGGACTTGAGATGCTGAAGACTCAACAAATAACCTTGTTCCAGAAGAGTCAGCATTTTTCCAGAGAAATGGACAGATACTGAAAGTTTGGGTATATAATTACATATGTTTATTTGTATATATATAAAATATTATGCGAATATATGTGTGTGAAACTAAACCCATCTCTAGCAATTCTCTTATTTTCAGGTGTTTTTGCAAATCTATTAGCCATAATAATAATAAACCCACCATATTTCAGTATTTTGTTGAGTAACACCACAATCAAACATGAACAGAATATTTTTTCATAGGAAGATAACAGTGAAAGAAAAAAAACACCATGACACACTTAGATGTAAAGTATTAATTCACAAATGAACCAAAGGTGAACTGGGAGTAAAATATGGATGACAAATAATTCTTTACTAACACTGACCTATAGCTGCATGCATCTGTGTCAGTTTTTGCAATATTTTTGCACCATCCTATACTACTTTAACAGCCTTCTCCTCTCTACCACTTGAGCAGCAGTTGATTTATACAGACTCCTGAGTTTAAATCGTGGATTCAGATATACTTGCAAACATCCCAGCTTTCAATCACCACTTTCTCTGTTATGGAACACTACAGGGCACTGAATCAGTACAGGTTGTGATAAAGCTGTTTTACCAAAGTAAAAAAACTAAACCATCACATGTTCTTCTGACTGATTTGTAGATAAAGGAGATATAGTAGATAGATGTACCACTGGCAACATTCACTATCCATGCTGCTAGGTGGGCAACTACACAGCAAATAACTGAAATGTCCCATGATGCAAGAAAATAATCCAGATGAGAAAAAAGGAGAGGAGATAGAGTCACGTTCATGATCACTGCTTTGGCCTTGATGTACAGAAAAATGCGTCAATCTTTATGTAAAAACATCTCATGTAGCCTTCATAAGCCAATCACAAACTGCAAGCTTTAATATTAATCCTACTTTAAGCTTCCCTCTCGGCATTTCAGCATTTACAAGAAAAATGCATGAACGGCTGAAGAAAACTTTGTACAAATATTTTGCAGGACAAGACATGTAAGGATAACAGAAAGGAGAAAACACTTTGAAGGGCTCTGCTTTTTGCCAAAAGGTAACAAGAGATCAAAAGATGAGGAAACTGCTGAGTTTGTGCTGAAACCCTCAAAGCACCGTGATCTTCAGACATGTACACAGAGGGACGTGAGGCTGGGGGCTCTGTGGGTCCGGTTGCTCATGAGAGGCTCTGGGGCTGTGTGGCATTGAGCAGGAGTGCCATTGTCCCTCCCTTACTGCCCCTGTAAGGACAGGTGACATGGGTAGAGGTGGAGAGTGCCCTCAGGGCCTGGCACTGCAACACTGACTACAGATGTGTGCTGTGTCCATAGTCTTCAGAGAGCACACCAGTGTTCTCTTACCTGTTTTCAGACTCAATTCACAGGTGCGAATCCACATACCATCTTTAACAGCTTGGCTTCTGCCTATCTCCACAGTGTTTACATCCAAACCTGGACAATACAGGAGCTATCCAGGACTCAATCTGTTCTCAACACAGTGGGTTTGCCAGGCCACCCAAAGATGCCCAGAACGTGTGCATTTCATTAAAAAAAAAAAAATAATAATCTCTTCGGTATGGAGAACTATGGGGATTTTGATGATGCAAAGCAGAAAGTGCTGTGCTGAACACAAATGATATGGAACAGCTACCTGCTGAGTAACCAGCCCTTGGTGCACCTCCACTGAAAGCAGGTGCACTCTCCAATACTCGAGTTCCAAAGGTGTCAGAGTACGACTAATCAGGTTTCTCCATTCACAGAATGATTACTAGTATTGCTAGCACAGAAAAGCCTACAGACTTTGTTGTGCTGAGCTGATGAACAAGGCACACTCTCTTTCCAGTCTGCACTGAAAACTCCAGCCTTACTCAGTGAGTGAAGCCAGCAGCCCAACACTGCTTCCTCCTCTGATCATTTCAGTGAAAGTCTATTCTCTGTCAATTTCCTTGTCTAATGTATATTTGTTGTTAGAGATTCCATTGATACCAATGGTTAATATTAGTGGCATTAGCATCTCTTGGTATCTTCAAGGATTTTTTCCACACTGTTTCACAAGTTGTTTGATTCTCCACACACAGGAGATGCAGTAGTCAGTAATTTCATTGCTTGCTCACAAAATCACAGAATGTCTTGGGCTGGAAAGAACCTCAAGGATCACCAAATTCCAACCAATTTGTCTAATATATATAGAATCATAGAATGGCTTGTGTTGGAAAGAACCCCAAGAATCATCAAGTTCCAACCCCCCTGCCTCAGGCAGGGCCTCCATCCTCCAGATCTGGTACTAGACCAGGCTGTCCAGGGTCCCATCCAACCTGGTCTTTAACACTTCCAGGGACAAAGCATCCACAGCCTCTCTGGGCAGCTGTTCCAGCACCTCACCACTCTCTCTGTAAAGAACTTCCCCCTGACATCCATCCTAAATCTTCCCTCCTTGTGCTTAAAACCATTTCCCCTTTGTCCTATCACTGTCTACCCTTGTAAAAAGTTGATTCCTTTCCTTTTTATAATTACCTTTTAAATACTGGAAGGCTGCAATGAGGTCTCCAACTTGCTCGGAATATAAGGACCCATACAATGTCTCCCTTACACCAAACTAGGAGAGATTTTACTATTATACCCACACTGCAAGCAAATAAGCCTCAGTTTACACCTGTCCCACCACCTACCACAGGATGTCAGCTCACCATCCTCCATTCTTCCTGCAAATAAGACAGATACCCTTGAATATAAATAATAGTTGATTGCGTAAAATCAAGGAGATGAGGCAGACACAGACACAGACCTACACGGTGCTTTGTTATGCCCTGAAATACTCTTTCTTCCCCACACTAAATTGGTGTTCAATTTAAGGGGGAAAAAAAAGGTTATAAAACAATGTTCAAAAGATTTTCCACCACAGACCAAAATTCTTGAAGGTAGGAATCTAGAGCAAAAAACCATACCTGTCATTAGTCAAGAGCTGACAAGTGTAAAGGTTTTTAATTAATCTCTGGTCACTCTTTTAAATAGAAAATTTCCACCTCAATAGGCTTTACCTACTAAAGTGCTTAAAATAAATAAATAGTCCCCTGTGAAAAATTCCTGAGGACAGTAGCATCCACAGAGCTCTCATTAGTGTCCAAGGACACTAGAGAAAAGATGAATATGTCTGATTACAAGTCGTCTGTTTTGCTCTCAGCCCACATACTCATTTGACTGGAAAGTTACAGGTCTATATTCTAAGGCTTTTCCACTTACCTTTGAGAGAGATTAAAAACTTGTTGCGGATCTCCATTCTCAATGAGGTATCTTATAGGGTCACCCTCTCTATCAAAAGCCTTTAGGAGAAAAGAAGATAAAATGGAGTAAGTTACAAAGTTTTTCATTCTTCCCTTCAATTTATTAACTGGAGAATTAACCCCCGAAGTTCCACTGAAGTCCTCTACAGGAATGCTGCTGATCCATTTCTAAGACAGTGGTGATAATTACAAGTGGGCCGCTTAAGATCAAGCTGTAGTGCATCATAATTCTTATCCTACAGAGGAACAACAGCATCCTAAATACTTCCTCATCATTACTACATGTGAGCACACAGCAGTGCAATATGAATCTCAAGCTTTATTCAGTTACTTTTGTGCAAGTATAGACCAATGAAATGGCTCTTTTTGTTTTCTTCATTCCAACTTTTTGTTCTCATTTCTTATCCAGATTAAATTTACCAGAATCCCAGTCCTTTTGCTTCTGTTCCACTGAGAAGTGTGGGTGTATCAGTATTCACCCTACACCTTGATTTCTTTCTTGGGAGATGAAAATCAGGATAAGAACTTAGAAGAGAGCTATTAACAGCATCAAAACAAGTCTGCTCCATTTATTAGATGGCAAAAGAATTTTTCCAAAGTTGAGTAAACTACTTGTGAAGATAAGCTTTGGCTAATTTGTTTCCAAAAATCATCATGAATATTCCACATAATTGGTTTGGGTTTTTTTTTTTTTTTGTCCAGTTTACACATACCTTTTTCCCCAAAAGACTATTAGGTGCTTTTCCAGAGAAAATACCATTTACTGAATGGCATCACAGTTACCAACATCCAGCATTCAAAATACAAAGTGACAGGTAAAACAATAAAAATATTGCTATGAGTACTGCATGACGGTCGACCAACAGGTCCAAAAAAGGGCATATGGGATTTATAGGAGACATGTCAAAAATAAAAAAGATAAGGAGAGAAAGTATTTTGGTGTTTCTCGTTTTTCAATAGTCATTTTCTTATCTAGTTTTCTTTAGGCATTTGCTGTAGACCACAGTCAAGGACTGTGGTCTAACCTTTGGGCTAACCACCAAAAAACAGTTCTTAAAGTAAAAAAAATACCATGAAAATAAACAAACAAACCAAACAGAATCAACAAAACCTTCTAACCTAACTCCCCATCCACACAGAATAATAGGCGATGTTCAAGTTAGAGTAAATCTGAGAAGTGTGGAACTATGTCACAAAGTAAAAGCAGGAAGGATGCTGAGCAGGTCCAAGGGCTAACACTTTGCATCCCAGCTGCTATCACACAGGTAACAAAATTAACTGTGGCAGCAAAGGGGTAAAATTTCAAATTAGAATAGCGGAAGAACAACACAGCGCATATGTACATAAACAGAGCTTCTTCAAATCACCTGCTGAAATTACAGCCTGATGAAATTCATCCTAGTGTATAAAAACATGGGCTGAAGCAATCTCAAAGCCATTAGTAGTTTTCTTTGAAAACTCACAGAGGACATACGTGCTGAAGGGCAAACACGAGCTACATCTTTCACAAAGGAAAGAGGCAGGAAATCACACAGCAGACAGGTAGAGCTCAATTCCCAGAAAACAACAAATAATCAAATTATCTGTAAGTACCCAAGATGACAATATGGAGATGGATAATAGCAAGGCTAAATTTCTCAAGAACAAAAGATGTCAAAGCAATCTAATTTTCTTTTATAACGGGACAAGAAGTCGTGTAAGTAGGAGGAAAACTAGGGATGTAAAAATGCATCCTTGCCAGAGCAGGGCTTTTCACACTGCCTTATGTGACATCACAAACAAGTGACGAAAACATTATGACCACTTGGAAGGTGGGATTCAGCTGCAATTAAACTGATTATAAATTAAGGTTCAGACAGCATCGGATAGCATTTAGTATTGCAAAGGTGTGCATACTTCTTCCAATGCTGATCCATGTTTTCATGAAAGCCATCAGTGGCAGTACAGGGAATAGGTTTATGAAATCCATAGACAGCACCAGGAGACAGGAGGTACTAGTGCATTAGATAGCGTCAGCAGAATTCTGATCACCTTACAATGAAGACAGGAATGGACAGGATTCTGCTTGGTAAAAACAAGGAAAAAAGCTGTTAGACAAGACTATGAAAGCTTGCAAAGATTGGATGTAGAAAATGTTATCAGAGAGCACCTATGAGGACAACAGTAGATCCTGAATCATTGAAACCACATCACTGCTTCTGCCTTTAGTGGACCTTTCCATACTTTCCCATTTAGGGTATTCTCTTAACCTTACCTCCAGAGGATCTGCTCTCAACTCACATCTAAGAATCTCTCAGAGGTTCATTTGTGGTCTACACTCATTTGTAACGAGACATGAGTCACTCAGAAAGACAATCAGAAATAAAAAACTGCAAATAATAGCAAGTTATTATGTATGTAAGAAAAAGATTTAAAATCTTCAGTTCAAAAGAAAACAACATCCTACATCCACTGTTTCTAGGTTAATTGTATACAGGGACTTTATACATAGTACATGTCACCTCTTTGTTTGGCACCACACCTGGACCACAATAAGTCCTATTTCTGTACTGCAGACTCCCAGAAAGATGAGATTTGCATATTTTAATTAACGTCTGGTAAAACGCAAAGCAATAAAGCCTCCCAGGCATGCAATAAACTCTGGTTTATTTACAAATTAATACAGAGAAGATCATTTAATACCACATTACTTAATCTCAACTGCTGTTAATTAAAACACCAGTCAGAATCAACGGGTTATATTATAAAATAAATAACAGATATATCAGAAATAACGTTAACCTTCCCTAAATTCCTATATCATTCCCTACCATTCCTATATCAGTAAGACCACTCGTGAAATTAAAAGTCATCATGAAAATTAACACGTGACATCTATAAAATGTTTGGGAGCTGGTAATATTACCCATTTAGAGGCAATATCCCAAGCTACTGTTAAAATTCCACAAAAAATAAAGGATGACTAGCAGATAGCCTCACCTGGAAAAGATTTCAAAAGCTTAAATGCGAAGTTTATGAATGTTTAAAATGTCCTGGCCGATTTTATGCAGGAAAGAAAAAAGGAGAAAGACAGAAATATACTCCACACAATAAAAGTCCTTTAATACAGATGAGCATATTAATGCAGAATGAGGAAGCTGAGTTAGCTCTATGAAGACAAAGCAACTGCTTTCCATGTTCAGGACCATCAGTCCTGCAAGAGAAACTGTCTTTTACAAATCCTGAAGAGATAAAGCTACACATAGTTGTCATTTAAAAATTAAGTATTTTTCATAAACAAAAAGCATACAACTGAACTCAATTCAGGCATACTGCACTGGTAATAAAATAAATCTACACTGCAGTAACAATAACCAAAAGACAGCATTTTCTGTGTAATTTCAAAGCTCTTAAAACTGATGTATTTCACTCTTTCCCAAAAGGGTAATTGGTCCCTTCTGGCATCCTGGCCAAGTAGCAAGAGAACAGTCACTGCTCTATCACCAGCATCCCAGCTGGGCCCTGGCCATCTCCCAGGCTTACTCAGCATACCTTACACCAAGATACATTTGGAAAGAGTGCCTAGGCAGAACATTTGGTGGAAAGTTAAACATTAATAAAGATGGATTATTCCAACAACACACTTCACTTTCTAACCACATCTGAATCACACAAAATCCTGAAACACTAGAAACTGCAGAGGCTTTTCTGCCTCTGAAGACTACTCACATCTTTGGCCGCACATTCTAACACCTGCCAAGTAAACGCAAGTGTTTCTGCTTATTGGTGTGCTCCTGATTCTATTCTTTTCTATGGTGTTTCCAAAGGAGAGCAGCTCCCCACCAGTGTGGAGAACGCTCCTGAGCAACATGGATCTCTGATTCTGAACTCACATTAAAGTTGCACCAGCAGCTAATTTTCAGTATTGAGCTAAATGAGTCATTGTCCCTCAGCACAGGTGGTATCAGCTTAGCCATCCGTAGTCACCTTCCATCAGTTTTCAGCAGGCTAGTGAAACTTACCCAGTCACCCTCACCTCAATGTTCCTTTATTTCACACCCTTTGGGTCAGATCATTTATTTTCTGTGTATTTACTGAATGTGTGCAGTATACAGGGCCAAACCCCTCAGCTGATAAAGACTGATGCTAATGCCACCAAGTTCAGCAGATTTCAGTAGAGCTACACTGACTTAAAGCAGATACAGGCTACTGCTCCATATGGTTCTGTTTAGCTCAGGTATCTCCAGTCATCTTCCTCTGACTGGCTTTATATAAAGTCTGAATATGGAGAGAGGGAGAGAGAAAGCCAATCTCAGGAGAGCATGCTGCACTGAGTTTATCGCTTCAGACTTAAGACCATAATTATTTCATAAAAATATTAACGTCCTGATCCCCAAAAAACACACTGAAAGAATGGTAATTTATCTGTCTACTTTGCACAGCTGGCTTTCAAGACACAGCAGCACAAAGCACAAAAGCTTGGGGAACAGAAAATAAGCCAGCAGAAAACTGATACGTCAACTGTGTAGCACCACACAGAGAAACAACATGGGTCTGCAAAACAGGTTAATGCAGCATTATTTATAAACAGTACTGGATTAATGTGTTTTCACTGCTTCCACCTGCAGAGCTATTTTGGGCGGGATAGTTGCTCGGAATAGAGATGTTTGCAGAATGAGGCAGTGAAACCTGCTTTTTGTCAGCCTGTAGCAGCAGTTGTTACACGCACTGAAGGGAGTAAGCACCTTTGGATGCTTTTCAAAGTATGTCAGGCTAAAGAAGGGCTGAGCGCCAAAAATCTTCCTGAAATTCAATGGGAATGAGGTGCAGAAGTCCCCAAGTTATTCTGATTTGATGGCACAAAAACACACGAGAAACTCAGGTTTTTTTCAAGTTTTAAGCCATTCATGACATTCTATATCATAAATTTCATCCAGTGTGCAGCCTATGGTGTCTTTTAGCACATCCAGTGCCAGAAAAAAAAGATCTTCCAGAAACATCCGAATCCATTTCCTATACAGTATGTGTAAAGGGGCTGTTTACTACAAATAGACATTCTCCCTAGAAACCATCCTTCTCCACTACATCCAAGGACTGAACTCCTCATGGCATGGACACAAACAGAAGGAACATGGTGAAGGCTTACAGAAAAGCTTCTGTACCTGCAGGTTTAACAAAATGGCCCCAGTCCTCATGGCCTCACTGACTTCCAGGCTGTACATCAGCTGCGGAAAGCGGGGAGGGCTCTGGTTGTTGGGTGGAAGGACCTCAATATAAACAGTAGTAATAGAGCTCCTGCAATGAGACAAAAAAAAAATACAAGTCAAAGTCAATACATCAGCAAACACAAGGCAACCATCGTCTGTCTTGCTCTTTGTGTTCTCTGCAAGTCTAACAATCTCCCCTTGCTCCTTTAAAAGCTTCAGGACATTTTTTCATTCCCCATCAATAGGAAACATGGCTGCAACATTAATAGAGGAAAAGCTAAATAACGTCTCTTGAAAACAAAACAATAACATGTTGCTGCATTCATCACTGTAATCCCTTGGTCCACAGGATGACAAATCCTGTGATGATAACTCCTGCTGCTAAGCACAACATCTCCCTGTAGCATCCCTGTCATGGTACTGCTTGCTTCCTTCCTTTGTAAGAGAGGGAACTGAAAGCACTGTTGGAGAGGTAATGCTGGGAGGAAGATGATGCACACAAGCAGGCTGCATCAGTGCAGTGGTTTGTGGGGATAAATCAGGTGAGTTAGCCAAGGCAATACAGGAGGCTTCAATGCCACTGAGGAGACATGGCAAACCCAGACTGCACTGAGCCACTAACACCAATGTAATGCAAAACACATCCCAGTTTGCAAGCTCAAAGCTCTCCTGGGAACCTTGAGACTCGCTACAGACCTTACACAATTGTGCTGTAGATACTCTTGATATTCAACTACTCCAAAGTTAGAGATGAAAACTGAAAGGAAGATTTGGATCAAAGGGACCTTTCTTACTCCCCATCTTCCAGCAGCAGGATGACAGGCTGATGGGTAGGGTGTTCACCTGGTAGCAGCGGCTGAGGTGCTCTAAGGAGATCATGGGGCTGCCCCTGCTGTCTCCAGGAGGCCCTGAGAGGTTCAAGAAAGCTCCAGAAGTGGCCATCCAGCAGCTGGACATCAGAACCTTCAGGCACCTGCATCTTGGCCCAGGTGGCCAAGAGGGCCAACGGCATCCTGGCCTGCATTAGGAATGGTGTGGCCAGCAGGAGCAGGGAGTTGATCATCCCCCTGTACTCAGCACTGGTGAGGCTGCACCTCGAGTACTGTGTTCAGTTTTGGGCCCCTCACTACAAGAAAGACATTGAGGCCCTGGAACGTGTCCAGAGAAGGGCAACGAAACTGGTGAGGGGTCTGGAGCACAAGTCTTACGAGGAGCGGCTGAGGGAGCTGGGATTGTTCAGTCTGGAGAAGAGGAGGCTCAGGGGAGACCTCATTGCACTCTACAACTTCCTGAAGGGAGGTTGTGGTGCAAAAGGGTCTGGCCTCTTCTCCCAGGCAAATAGTAGGACCCGAGGAAATGGCCAGAAGTTATAGCAGAGCAGGTTTAGGTTGGACATGAGGAGAAACTTTTTCTTTCAAAGGGTGGTCAGGCACTGGAATGGCCTGCACAGGGAGGTGGTGGAGTCGCCGTCCCTGGTAGTGTTCAAGAGGCGCCTGGATGAGGAGCTACAAGAGATGGTTTAGTAGCTTGTGGCACTGATAGGAATGGGAGGGTGGTTGGACTAGATGATCTTGCAGGTCATTTCCAACCTTGTGATTCTGTGATTCTGTGATTCTGTGTGAACAACACACTGCACTGCAATGAGCCCTCAAGGTTTAGCGGTGCCATGCCACGATGCCTTCCCAAACTTCCATCAGTGCCCAGCAGCCCTGCTAGCCATGAGCAATCCCAAGCTTCTCATCCACAGAGGTGCTGCAGTGCCTAATCACATCCAAGTGTCTCTGGAGTATGTGCTGGGTTTGCCTGCTTCTACTAACACAGGGGATGAGAAATCTTGCTGCTTTGATTCTAACAGCCAGCTCCTTATTTGATGTAATCACACTCAAAACAAATATGTAACCTGCTCTGAAATGCATCAGCAAATGACAAAGCCTCACCATCCATCTTATTAGGAAAGATTTAAGAAGCTGAATTTGCAGACTAGTGGCTCAATGAATATAAACAAATCCAGCACATTCAGGGGAAGACAGACACAAACAACTGCAGTTGCTTACTCAGTGTAGACTACCTTGTTACAAATGACAGTCACTTTCTGAAATTCCCTGCCTTCTTGTCTGTGACACTTCATCATATCCCATTAATCTGAATCAACATTCCTCATTTACACTCTTGGAATAAAGTAATATCATCACCAAATGATGAAAACCAGATACAATGAACGAACAGACAAAACCTGAGAACTCAGACTGCATGTTTTCTTGAGATAGCTCATGACTTTGATACACACAACCAAGTAGTTGAATTTTAGTGTGCATTTTTCTTCTACTGCTGAACATCTAATAAAAAACGGCTGTTCTTTATCACTTCTAATTCTGCTACATTTCAATAATGCTCAAGCTGATTCATTGTCTATCAAGGTCTTTAAAAAATGGTTTCTGCTCACTACAGTAGTAAGCAAATTTTCTTCAAATCTTTAAGACAAGCTGACAGAAATAAAATACTAGCAGGCTGCAAACGAAAAGCAGCATAGGATTAAATAGCTACTTTTTTTTTTTTTTTTTTTCCAATTTCAGGTGGTTGGAAGAATCTACACTGTTATGGAAAAAGAAAAGGCGCAGAGCTGACAACTAACAACTGCAGTTGAGCACGGCAAGAACAGGTGAACACCCTGAAAAAAGAACAGGGCAGAGGAATTGAAAGATGTTGACAAAGTCACAGAAAAGCAAGGAAACAGGTTTTATGCTGCCCCAGCTAAATGGTAATGCAAAGAAAGCACAGCCCACAAACCACTGAGACTGCATCACCAACTCTGCTTTAGCTCTGCATGCTTTCTACATACCACTATATTATACAATGTCTAATGAATATACTTATATATACGTGGGCCAATTTCTCTTTGGCCACACTATCTCTGCATAATCAAGTCGAACAGAAAGTATTCTTTTCTTGTTATAGATAGAAACTGTAATAGAACTTCACAGAAAACCTTGTTTTATGCACAGATGCATGTCAAGAATTTAATGTGCCCTGAGAAAGAGCTAGACATAAATAATTTTGATTTATGTTAGTGCTCAGAGAGGCTACAGAACTGCTGCTCTTAAACCAGCTTTCATACCTGGCCCTTGCTTTGTACAGAAGCAAAGGGATAGTTTCAACTCAAGTCAGTTTACACCTGACTGCAGTCAACCTGGAACATTTTGTATTACAATGCAGAGCTGGGAAGAAATGCCCAATTATTTTAAGTTACATTAACGTCCTCAGCATATTTATTTATTTCCCAGGGAACAAGCCTTCCTACCTGCACACACACAACATCTGCCCATTCCAAGGAGCTTTAGCTTTTGGGTCTGCCTTACCAAGGCAATGGCAAGGCACTTAACACAACGTGACAGTTTTGTAGATGAAGTTGCAAGAATTTCTTGCAACCCCTACTACAAGACACCAAGCACTTCACAGCAAAAAAGAAGGAACTGATATTTAAGTGATGGAAAAGGACAGCTTTAAAGAGCTCCAAATTGCAGCTCACATAAGCTCATCCTGACTCGTTACATAAAATCATAGGAGGCTGCTGAAAGCCCTGTCAACTCAATTCTGGTTTTCCAATCTCAGAGGAAAAAAAGAGCAGGAAGGCAGCAATATCTTTTTGCCCAAATCTACTTTGCCAAACAGGTTGAATTCTTCACACAGTTCCTTCTGCAGTATCTCGCTAGAGCTCCGTGAATTTTTAACCTTCACAGACACACTATAAACAGCCTTGGGCTCTGAATACATCTCAGCTCAACAAGGCCAGGTCTGCCCTGAGGCTGCATGCCCCAACTACAGGAACACCGCCTAGATGCTGAGGTTTGTGGTTACACAAATTGAAAGCTATGAAGAAAGCTGTATGCTGTAATTCCATAAAAAGAGAGACAAGGAGAAGTGATAATAAAATAAGAGCTTTTCCACTTACAAAGATTATTTCAAGGAAGATGTTGTCAGAGAAGGAAGTACTTCCTCCCAACACATCACCAGAAATATGTATTTTACGGCAGAAAGATTTCTCTAAATTAACCTGAGAGCAATCAACATTGTACCACAGCAGCCACCACTGCTGGCTGGCCATGCTGCTGGCTTCTGAAGCTCTTCTGAAGTTGCATTATTGACTTCTGTACACCGCTTAAATACTGTGTTAGCAGAATACAGCACTAAGTCCACAATCTTCTCTTCAGCGCTGCTAACAATCTACTATCAGCTCCCCTAAGAGATGGTTTATCAAGAAAGCAAGCAACAGAGGGAAAGGAAGAAAAAATTCAATCACAAAACAGTGCTATCAGATATTAGTGCTATGAATAGCCCAACAATCAGAACACTTCAGTGGCTGGAAATGCTGTTGCAAAATTTATGCAGAAGAGAATGAGCTGTTTGTTTGAAGACAGAAAAGAAGCAGCAGGTCCCAAAGAAAAAAAAACAACTCACAAAACAGAATTTTTACATTTACTTTCCTTCTTACCACCTCCCTGAATAAGAGTGGAAAGTCTGTGGGAAATTCAAACACTGGAGACTACAGCTCTCTATCACACTCTTTGGACAACGAAGTCGATGCATTATCAATACATGAAACTAGACAAAGAATATGAGAGCCACTTCTATGCAATTCCCTCGTGACATGACAGCATTTGTGCACAGCTGACAGATGCAGAATGCAAAATCAAAAGAAGCCCATCAGTGAGACTAAACATCTTTTGTTTCTTGAACATGAGAGGGCCCTGTTCTACCCACAGTAAATCTGCAGACTGCTTTTATCTATCAGCTGATGGAGAACCAAAATAACTGTGCTACGAACTAAGGCCTCGGTGGGGATACTGTTCATCATTGGCACAACTTGTCACGCATGCCGCAGCACATCCTCTATGTGGGAAGAATGTCTCCAGATCAGCAACCAGACTGTTTCTGATCCTTTCTGCATCACAGCAAGCTGAACACAACACAAAGCACCTCCTTTCTCACTTTTCTTCCTTATAGCCCTTCATTTCAATTTCTCTTAACAAATGTGTGTGCACAACTTCAGCATAATGCAGACTTCAAAAAAAAAAAACAACACCATTACAAGGAAATGAAGTAATGAAATCTATGTACTACATGTAAAATACAAATAACTAGAAGTAAACACATTAAACTGATTTCTAACACGACACTTCTCCAGAAAAGAAGCCTTAGACACCAAAAAGAACACAATGAATCTTATTCCAATTCAGAATTATAGGTGTACAGGCACACCACACTTCTTATGCACCGCTAAGCACTGATTAAAAATTAGTTTCATGATAAGATGAATTACCTTCTCTGTGCAGGAGGAGCGCTATCAGATGCTTTGACAGTGAGAGCATAGGATCGCCCCACTGACAGTACAACTCCTGGAGCAATGGTGATAAGGCCTGTTCGGTCATTGATGATGAAGTCTCCCTGATCCCCAGCCAAAATTTCATACACTATCTGTCCATTGGGTCCCTCGTCCGCATCTACAGCAGTGAGCTGCAATTCAAAACCAGAATGTCAGCATGCGTGATTCAGTGTTGTATTCTAATAGTTGTTTGGTTGTTTTTTTTTAATAATAAGGTAACTTATTAGGGATAAAGGAAGCAGAAATGAGAGAAAAATTTCTATAGTACAAGAAGGATTTAAATGAAGAATATAAGTGGAAGAACATCATGGAACAGAGAAAAACTGCTTACCTAGGATTGCAAGAAAAATTATTTTAAGAAAGGAACTTTAAGAAAACTAATAGAGATCAAGTTTACTCTCTGTGAAGTGGAATTTGTAGCACCCTGGAAAAAAAAAAAAAAAATTGGGGGATCCTTCCTGTGTTGCAAATCTAACAAGAGGGTCATTTTCAACTACAGAAATTTTCCATCCCACTCTACACTGTTCAAAGCCTGATATCCAGGTCTTGCTCTAAAGGTCCTCATCATATGGAACTGGGGTACAGTGTTCATTTTACTCCTCTACGCATACCACAGAGGAAACCAAATGGAAGAGACGTGATAGTTGTTTCCATATGGACACAGATGTAACAGACATAACTATGCACCTCACCAACATGCAAGGCTCCTTTCATTACATGACACCACCTATCTGAAGAGCTATGCTTATGGGGGGCCCAGTTATAAACCCAAGTTTATAATTTATTTTATTATTATTTATTTTATTATGTACTTCTATGTTGTTGCCTCTACAGCATCTCTCTACTGGAATTAAGCCTTTCATACATAGTATTTCTGTGACAGACTTACGTAATTACGATCCTCGATATGTGAAAATTTTAAGGCCTAATGATTTAGACACAAATTTTAATGATGAACATGAGTTTGTTACCAGTGAAATGAGGAAGTTCGCCTTTTGTCCATGGAAAATGCAACAGTTTTAGCCCTCTTTTGTAGCACGCCATGAAAAATTAAACATCTACAAACATGTGGCTGGAAAAAAATCTCAATATTCATATTTGTTTGCTTCTTGTTGAAGTACCAACTTCCCTCTTCCCAGCATAACACGAGCAACTAGCAATCTGAAGTTTCTTATCAGATTTCTGCCATAACATATTCAGAAGAACACATCCACGCATTAGTCATGCCAGTTGGCTGTCCAGGCTCTTAACTTAGCTCTTTCATCTCTCCACCTCCTTTACTCATGCTAAGGTACATGCTAAACAAATACAACTTATTCAGCGTACGACACAGCAAGCTGGTTACAATGCCTATCTCTTGAGCTTTATTTTGCAACTTAAAATTACAACTTAATTACAACCTTCAGAAAACAAAAGGCTGCATAGTTTTCAGTTAAATTTAGGGTTGAACTGCTGAAATTAACTTCAAGCCACACCTTACAGGCTTTCTAAGTTGACTATCTTCTTCCAATAAGTGTCACTTTGCTGATAGGTCTATCAGCCACAGCAGGCAATGCCAGTGATGCTCATGTACCCATCTGGCCTGTACCAACAGCAGTGGAGTTGAAATGTCAGCAGCTGACGGCTCAACAGGCTCCCGCTGCTCCCAGCTGCAGCTGGGAATTTCAGTGTGGAAAACAAGAGGCACCAGCAGCTATAGTAGCAGAGCCCTCCTGGGGATGTATAAAGCAGTGAAAAATCTCAGCCTCAGAAATGATTTTCTACAGAAAGAAAGTGAAAAGAAACCAAACCAATCTGCCCAGCTTCTTGAATGGTCTCTGTTGGCCTGTCCACATTGGTTTTCTCAATGGAAACAGTCATGCCAGCAGGCTGACTTCAGTGGGGATTGCAAGGATTTAAGGATAACACATGATCACAAAGCCTTTGTGATGACCATGAAGCCAACGATAGGATCAACAGACATCACCTGAGCCTGGGGCAGCCAACAAAGCAAATTCCTGTCAGACACTCTTTTCTCAAAAATTTCTCTCAAAAATTTAATGAATAAATATCCACATGTTGTTTTTCAAGAACACCTCTCCTTCTCTATCTTCTTTTTAAATTCTGAAGAAGACATGCTACGAAGACTGCACTTTGGTAGTGCGCTTTACATTTCATCCATATCATCTCCTGACATATCAATACGCTGACTTTCAACAGTCAGACAGAATCAAGACACCAGAGCTGCACCCTCTTACACTTTAGAGCTTAAATCCCTCTTTAAACTACTTCTTTGACGTACACATCTGAATGCATTCATCAACCTTGCAAAAGTAACCATCAAACTAAGTGACACAGTTAAGAGAAGTGTTACAACAACATTCTTTACTTGGAAAGTAACAGACACAAAAAGACAAATAAAGGCTTTATGCAAAATACAAGCTCCTAAGCATTTAATCACAGCATTTGGAACAAGGCCAGTTTTTACAGTGATGACATGAAAAAGGAAATTAATTGTCTACACAAGTACATAAATTAATAAGGTTAATTAAACTCACAAATTCCGAATGCTTGAAAAGATAAGTGATTTGAATAATATTTTGGGGCAAAAGCATGAATAAAAATGAAGTTTTACAGCTGCCATAATACATGATTCTATAAATTCATCTCCAGCTGTCCCAAACCGATACGGTTTCATAGTTAACATGATTTTAGAAACACGTCTAAAATGTATGTGAAAAGAAGTTCAAAACAGGATTTATTTTACTTTCCTAAGAAACTTTTTACATCCAGCAGCATCAGTTCCATTACATTAAAATGTAACGTACTGCAAATTTTGCAAAATAGGTGCATATATATTCTACTACAGCAAGAAGTAACATTCTTGAATGGACGAGGGAATATACAACTGTCTCACAGCTTACAAAAACATATTCCTTGCCACTGCATAAACTCTGTCCAGTCTTACTTGCACTTGGAGGAAAATGCACTTCAACAGCTTATCTCCACACTTTCTCTAATGACACCTTCAGTGAGCCTTCCCCGCAGACACAACTACCAACCTTTCTTGCAACCCTATGTGTTCCACAAAATTAAATGTTCAGCAGAACTGGTCTAACTCATACTACCCACAGGAGCTGCACCGTGCCACAGCACCTCCCCAAAACAGTTCTTGAAGCCACTGTTTCAATGAAGCATGTGCAAAGATCCCAAGTCACATTCCATACACAACTATCTTGTGAAAAGTCATCAAGGAAGGGTATACGTGTAATCCGGACCGATGCACCAGGGAAAAGTGCTGGGCTTGGTCTCTTCCAGCTTAGAATATTCTATGGTTCTATGTTTATACTGCAAGTGCACTGACTGAGAAATGCAATCGTAATCCAGATATTCCCCCTGTTAATAACATTTACTGTGTAGATAAATTAAAAATTAAAAATTAAAATTAACATGCAATGGACTGAAGGCAAAGGGTTGCAAATAACCATGTAAATAAAACGTCAAGTGTGACTCAGAGTCAACTTGCATGAAGATTTTCTCTAAATTGTTCTGGGGGTTAACAGCAAGGTGCATTTGTTACAGGCTGGAAGCTACAGGCATGAGCCACGCTGCAAAAACTCAAACACATCTCTAATAAATACTTCAGTATGCGTCTGTATATGAGGATGGCTCAGGTCACATTTGAGTACGTGCTGGGAATGAAAGGACACTGTTTAAGAGACAAAGTGATCCAGCACTGAGAATCCACACTTGAGGCACGAGAGCAGAACAGTCCCAGAGAAGGTATTTATTTAATGGCCCTAAATAAAATTTGTCCCCATGTACAACTGGAACTACTGCTACTGTTCAAGACTAATTCTACTGTGAGCAAAAGACAGATGATTGATAGATTTACTGCCTGCAGCTTTTCCATCTTTCATCTTTCGCTTCTGACCTTCACCACAATGGCCATTTATGCTGAGCTGTGTGAAGTTAAACACCTCGTTTAACCAACATTTGGGGCACCTCCTCTAACTTAACTTGCACGGACCGTATAAGAATTATTTCAACGCTCACAAGGTAGTCAGGCACTGCACTAATTCACTGCATATTGTACTATCTGTTTTCGGCCACAGTTATTTAATTGTCCCTATGGGAGTACCTCCGCAAGACCTATAAAATGTACCTATAGAATGTACCTCTGCAACAAGAAACCAGGTAGAAATTAAGACACAGATATAAAGGAAAATAACTTCTGGGGCTTTTTTGTTTCATAAATTTTAAGCCTAGGAAAAGCAGCATATTCTTTTCAACGGCAGTTCAGGAGTTTTTCCTGTAAACAGAAGATATAAAAAAATAATAATCCACTGTAGTTCTTAAAGGCTAAGGAAGCCTTTTAACCCTCAAGCAAGCCTGCATGAAGATCTTGGTGGATTATGTCTTTGCTGTCTTCTGTCCCTTCTCAGAACTATCCTTTTTTTCTTGCTTAATATTTGCTGTACCCTGCATAGCATCCATAGCATACCCTGCATACTGTATAGAGAAAGGAAATTGTCTAACAGAGTGAATTGAAATGACTTATATGAAATATTATTGCTTTGTGGCTGCATACTCATCAGCATGTAGCTGGCTTAAGCATCTGAATCTCTAGGAACACAAAGCACTGACAGAATCATGGAAAACAGGATAGAAAAACTGTAACAATATAAAAATGCTAGAATTAAGTACTTGAATAGGTTTAATATTAATCAGTCTTGCAAGTGATAATAGTTATTTACCACACATTTAACTGTTTTAAATGACAGATTTCTCAAACAGCTAAGGTGTAATAGGAAGCACAATGAAGTACCTGAAACAGACAGAACACACAGACTTTTCAACTTAACAGAGAACCTATTCACCTCAACCAAAGTCTTGGACAGCTGCTGCAAGCATTCAGAGTAGAGAAACGAAATGCAAACTTCCCAAACCAACCCTATTGCTAATTCCCTGATGGTACAGCTGTAGTCACTGCACGAGATGTCAGACAGCACATATTTCACACTCTCCTGTGATATGCTCCACCTTTCCACAGGCTGCACCTCAGCCTTGCAACCAGAGTGTCAAAGGCAAATCACCCAACCTACCACCATGCTTGCAAGGAAAACCAATGCAACTCAGTAAGATGTAACTTCATTTTCTCTCTTTGGCTCTCTCCTACTAAAGGCAACAGGGAAAGAAGGGAAACTCCTTGAAAAAAAAGCACGTAAAAAAACACCAACAATTTCACTCATAATGAAATTTTTCCCTTGCTATTTGTGGTCATTTTCAAGCAGAGCCAAAGGAACAGCATTATTTTTAAGAGTGTACTACATAGCAAATACAGAATTTAATAATTTTCCCCAACCCCAGGAGTAAATTCAAAATTGTTTCCTACAAAATGGGATAACAAGCAAGTACCAGACTGGGGTTCTTTGAACTTATTCATAGTACTCCACTCAGCAAATAAATCTTAATTCTTTTGTAAGCTCACCATAATAAAATTGAAGAGGCAATCAACATGAGAGCAATTGCACTACTATAGTAGAAATTAACTTTTTTTTTTTGTTTGAAAGATGACACGCTTAACACAGGAAATACTGTCTTGATCATCCTGAAAATACAGTCTGACTGTGGAGTTAAGTGCAGGGCAGTGCTTATCTGTAAATGATTATGAGATTATAGAAATTCACCGAGGTCACTGTTCTTTTTCTAACCTACTTTCTGAGATTAGAGAAAGTGGTTTTTAAAGACTAATCACATCTGACCTGGGTAATTTTCCTATCATAGCTGATAATCACCTAATAGCTGCAAAACTCAGATGATTCTTAAACTGAAAATGAGTTAGGGTTATGAGATGTTTGCTCCACGTACAGAGAACAAACCAAGTATATAATTAAAATCAGTGTACAGCGCTTCAGAATAAGAAGCCTGTTTTCCATTTCAGAAGGTATTTGTGAAACAGAAACAAGCAATGACAGGGCAGCACACATCCATCTTCCTGGCCTAAGGAAACAAACAGGCAACCCTGTATAACACAATTGGCCTTACAGAGCACTCTTCTCGCTCCCTCCCCAAATGAATCATTTACTGAGGAACTTATACTTGCAGTTTTCCTGCTCTTTTTGCACATCTCCAAGGCTGATATAGCAGAGAGTCTGTCTAAGCCTTTCAAAGAGCATATTCCTTTTAAAAGTGTAAGTACTTTAGCTGTTCTACTTCATACTAAGTTTCAAAGAAAGGTCGGTCAGCTCAGAGCATCCTTATGGCCAGCCTCAGGTACTGCAGCCATTCCCTTTTCACATGGGCTGAAATCTCGTTTAGCAACAAGTTTTGCCTCGTGTTTCCTGGTACGTGCAGCTCCGACCAAGAGGAAACATGGTTTAGACATGAGATACGTTAAATCCATAGCACACTACTTTGCCTGATACCCTGCACAACAAAGGCCCTGACAACTCTAATGGTTTCTTTCTGGACTAGTGTGCTTACTCTTTAGGAAGAACCATCAATCTAAAAAAAATCAGACCTTTATTTCCGCACCTTAAATATTCTCAATTATAGATTGAGCTAGGAATTTATGAGATGTTGTAAAGGCAGCTCCTGATGTCAATCCTACACACAGCTCTGAGCTCTGCCTGCCTTTTGCTCATTCAGGAGAGCACTATGTGATCTCTTTTAACCCATACAGCCACCAATTCTCTCAGAACTTGAAGCAACTTCTTTTTTAAACTTATTTCCCCCCAAATGTTGCTGAAAATGTCCTCAGGACTCTCAATGATCCTTTACACGCTTGTAGCCCAGACTGATGAAAATATAAAAATAACATTACCAAAGATTCAAAGATAACAAATACAGCCAAGCCCATGAATTTCAAGTATGTCATGCGCCAAAACAGTGAATTCTCTCCTAATCCAGTTAAACCACGGCTGACTTCAAATGTATTATATTTATGAAAATGGTATTACTTCAATCCGATGATTAATTCTTTTTGAATACTCCTACTTTCCTTGAATGCCAACCACTACTAACATCATCACACAATCACAGAATCTTGTTTTCTCATCCATTAGGGCTGGAAATCACTCAGGAAGATGGCTCAGAACTTAGAATCATCACCAGTCACTATTATTTCCATAAATTTCCATGCAACCTTGTTTCACCTCCTTTCTAGATTCAAACATAGTACCAAAAACATCCATTACAATGGCTACCCTAGCTCTTCTGCTTATGAAGGCTGGCATTCAGTACACTTTCTACCACTCAATTGCTCTACAGGCAATTTAAGATTGTCTAGAAACTGTTTTATGACATGATAAGACACTTCTGGATATCTCCTACAAATGGTTTGGTTTGCCTGCTTTCCTAACATGATTTATTTCAGTAGCCCTCCGGCAATTTAAAATTTCCTTAAAGTTAGGAAGTTTGAGAAAACGCCTATCCCTGTGAGAGATCAGGCCTGATGCTAAGGGCTAAGAGCTAAGTAAGTACAGGAGAATGTTTTTTTCCTCTTATAAGGTTTTTTTTTTTTACAGATGGAAACATTTCATAAAACTTTGGATGAATCAGCTGAAATGTAGCATTATGTCTGAGATGACTTCATTTGAGGAAACTCTTAACAGGTAAGTAATTAATGAGGCAGATAGAAACGCACAAACTTAATTTCTAGCTGTTTCCAGTGCATGTTCAGTGTGTATCGACAAGGCTGCCCGCCGGTAGCAAAGAGTTAACAAAACAAATAAAAACCATAAACATTACCTTTATAACGCCTTCCCCAGGCCCCATATCTGTATAAATCTTGACGTTGTATGATATATTGGAGAAGGTTGGGGAATTATCGTTTGCATCAATCACCACGATATTGACCGTCACTGGGGTACTCTCCTGCACGCCATCAGAAGCTATCATCTTCAGGAGGAAAAAAGGGCAGGCAAGAAACATAATTTAACAATGTATTCTTAAGACAACTGCAACTATGAGAAAGCACAGTATAACAAGTAAAAAGCAGTATTTAGCTTTACATTTGTTTTCTAACACACAGCAAATTACAAGAAGCTTATATTGAGCTTGAGTCAGCAGTGTGTAAGAAACAGGACAAAAGCACCTTCAAAAAGTACTGTGTCAGAAAAGCAGAAGAAATGAGAGGGAGTGGCTGTGTTCCAGGGCTGGGATCTGAGCTGGCAGGACGTGCAGCAAGTCCCCAGCTATGCTGGACACCTTGAAGGAGCAGGACCTGGCCACAGAACACCGACCTGTTCAACAGTGCGTGTCTCAGGCACTGTAATATGTAGGATCTGTCGTCCACCTATGTTGAATTTCAAAGACAGCATTTTAATGTGGGATGTGAAGAGCTAGAAGGTCGTCCTATGCCACAGACAAAAATCTGAATTCTCTCTCTTTTCAAATGTGTTTTGCCTATATATCCTTTTGCAAACTGGCTTAGAACTGTTCCAGGGTTTCCTGACTGACTGCTAACTGCCTCTACTAATACAGAAGTAGAAAGTAGAGACATCATGTTCCTAGCCCAAGGGCTAAGAGAAGGCAAAGTTGGCCTCAAGGCCAAGCATAAAAGAGGAAGGTTGGACTGTATCATGGTGGGTGGCAAAGAGCAGAAAACAGGCCTGGAACCGTTGATATGATGCCAATACAGGGGGATCTTAAATCTTGCTATCAAGCTGAAAACATGCTTTTTGGAAGAGAACACCGTTGGGTAGTGCCACCACTTTGCCACTTCTTCTTCACCTCTGTCATTTTAATAACCTGCAGTGGTGTTACAACTAATTATTTTTCAACCCATGCTCTGACTGATGCCTGGTATGCCTTCAGAAGGACTGAGCTTACCGAGAAGGTGTAGAGGTGCTGGGCTTCTCTGTCAACAGGCTGCAGCAGGGTGAGGTAGCGGGTGATGCCACTCTGGGTCACAGTGAAAAAGGTATTGTAATCATTCAGGAAGAGATGGAGCTGTGGGTCCTTGGTCTTTAAAAAGAAACAAAACCACCACATTCTACTATTAATTCTTACACACCATTAAGTTTCCAGTTACTCAATGCATGTGCTAAGTCTCATCAAAACCTAAATACCCAGAAAGCAGAATACAACGATTGATGAATCTATGAAACTGTAAAAAAAAAAAAAAAAAATAATAATAATAAAAAAGAGAATAATTAAAAAAGAAAAGAAAAAAAAAGCCCTTAACAAAATGTTACACACTGATCTGAAAAATCTTATCTGCTTGATGAAAGAGGTGTTAAAAATCTTTAATGTATAAGGTAAGTAAACCCAACCAGGAGCAAATAACTATCTTCTTGTTTGAGATGACTCGTTCCTTTAAATAGATTTTCAAGCCTAATATAACTAACTTAACAGCAGCGAGAAACCAGATCCAAGTATCTGTTTTCAATCATACTGGAAACAAAACAAAACCTATGTGGATTAATGAAGCAGTAACACAGGTGGGCTGGTGCAGTGAAAAAGGATAATGATACGTGTTGAAACATACCACTAGACAAATGCTATTCAGGGATTTTCTTTGTCTTGGACAGAAATCAAAACATACTGATGCGAGATCTCTAATTTCTCAGTTGGTCAGATCAAAACCATACTAGAACAATTATGGTACAATTTTCAGTTTGGAAGTAACGTTTATGGTAACAACAACAAAATAAAACCAAAGGCATTGTACTTTGTTAGTCAAGGCTTCTCTAGGCAGCCTGCTGGGGGGACATATTATGCACTGAGAGATTATACATTGCCCCACAACCGGGCAAGCACCAAGAGAGGTAATGTAATGCTGCTGCAGCATGCAAGACCACAGACAACAAACCTATCGTTAGATACCCTGAGCAGGCAGAAATACCTTTTGGTGCAAATGGGATCTCAGCTAAGACAAAAGAGGAAGAAAATTCCTGCCATAGACAGAACCAGAAATTATTATTCAAAGAGAACAGAGCAGATAATTAAAGTCCAGAACCTCAAGCCAGTTCTGTCCTGAGCTTGCCACCTGGCTAAGAAGCTGCAAAATGGACTTGCTATCCTGAGTCCTTACCCCTCAGTCACTGGATGCAAACACAGAACAAACAAAGGGGCTTTTAGCACCGCATTTCCTGGTGTTTTGAAAAGCCCTACAAACTACCACACTTCATTCATCTTTTGAAGAAAAGCTGTTGGAGCTGGGCTTCAACTTGGAGAAAAGGCCCTAAGGAGACTTCAGTGTACACCTTCCAGTATTTAAAAGAGCTTATAAACAAGAGGAATGACTTTACATATAGACAGATAGTGACAGTGCAAGGGGGCATGGTTTTTTAAACTAAAGGAGGAGATTTAAGTTAGCTATTTGGGAGAAAATTTTCACTCAGAGGGTGGTGAGGCCCAGGCACTGCTGTCTAGAGAAGCTGTGGATACCTCATCTCTGAAGGCATCCAAAGGAAGGGCCCTGGGCAGCCTGATCCAGTGGGGGGTAGCCAGCCCATAATAGGGGGGTTGCAAATGGATGGGCATTAAGGTTCCTTCGAACCCAAGCCATTCATACAGAATCACAGAATGGCCAGGGTTGGAAGGGACCTCAAGGATCATGAATCTCCAACCCCCCACCACATGCAGGAACACCAACCTTGACATTTAATACCAGCCCAGGCTGTCCAGGGCCCCATCCAACCTGGCCTTGAACACCTCCAGAGATGGACAAGGCATCCACAGCCTCTCTGGGCAGCTGCTCCAGCACCTCACCACACATTCTGTGATTTTCTGTTATTGAAATGACAGAAGTGCAAATTGTGACCAGGACTAAGTATTTATGTTATCATCCTCCATCTCTTTAGAGATAATTTTGTGCTATTAACATGATTAGACTGCAAAGGTTATTTCACATTACAATTAAATTTGAAAAAAAAAAACAACATTATCTCTTATTGTCTTCTGTATTCCAATAAACATATCTATGCCCTTGTATGTTAATTTAATCCTAACTTAATGCTTTACTCTCAGTTACTCTTCAGTTTATTTCTGTTATATGAGGTGATGTGAGATTATATGGGAAGAAAGAAAATGCTATTTGGAAAACACAAAAGGCTATGGGACGAGTCACGTAAAAATTGTATCAAACCGTCCCGTATGATGTGGAGATGAGGCTATTACGAAGAATAAAACTTAACAGAAAATCCAGTGGCTGCACAACTTGATAAGTAGTTTTACCAGCTGTTTTTCACTGCAATGCTACAGAATGTGCCCCGTATAGAGTAAGATGCAACGGTTAGCTACATTTAACACATTATCCAAAGAAGTAGCATTATATTCTTCACTGAATGATTTCTCATTCTCATCTGATTCTCTGAATCTGAAATGCTTCTAGAAAGTTAACACCTGCCTTGTTATTATTGTCATTTTACACGAATGAAAAAAGAAAACAGACTACAGGAAAGTTTACCAGTCCCTACAACCCAGCAGGCAAAGACACTCTAACTCTAACATGCACTAAATGTTGTAATAGACAACTATGAGGACAGACTGGGACAATGGAAGGAGAAAGAAATTTATTTTTAGCAATCCAAAATACTCTGAAGCACCTATTTTTGGAAGGCTAAGATTTTAGTATTCAAATGTAAAACCATCTCAGTTACTGAGTGCTACTTGAAAGAAATATCAAAGTGTTCCAAATCAATGGTTTTCTACTGCCCAAAGCTTTGCTGTAACTAAGCCAACTTTCAGTAAAATTAAAATGCATTTTACACCTAGCAATGCAAATAGTTATCTCTTTTTTTTCCATGCAAAATTATAGAAGGTAACTGCCAATAATTATTCACTTTGTAGACAGGATAAAGTCAGTCAAAAGTTTAATTTCCAAATGCTCTGGCTGGTTGTTCCGGTTCTTGCTTGCCATATCATTTTGAACACTAATACACAGTATTTTTTCCCCTAATTTGTTATTGAGAAAAAACAATGGATAATAGATAATTCTATACACTCCAAAAGTCATCTATCCTATTCCTTAGCTATTTTTGTCTTAAAATTTTTTATCCCAGTGTCTACATTAAATCAAATTTAATGCAATAAGTACCTGTTTTTACTATTTCTATACATGTTGGGCATACAAAGCAATTTATTTTCTTAATAATTGCAGTGGTTTGCCTTTACATTTTTAACACGCTTCATGCTGAAAGAAAGTCTGCATGACTGTGCACACATCACCTGGCAGATACTATGAATGAACACAATTATGGGAAACAACTCATTCATGCTGCCTACAAAATTTCTCATGCTTTAGTTTCTTAAACTATTATTTCAGGTGGCTTTGGATTGACCACTGATACCAAACCAAACTCCTGATTGATGTGAACTGGTTTGTATCTAATAAATTGTTTAGCACATGATTTTAAGCAGAAAACTATCAGAATCCACGTGACTAAGTAAACACGTGACCTGCAAGGACTATTTCAAGCACACAGTGCAAACCGAAGATGGTTTACGTGCTTTAGACCTCTTAGTAGACTGTATGGGAACTGCTGAGTCACGGCCTGAACCTCTGATTGATCACCTGAGGTGAGCAACAAGTCAGCCAGAGGAGCACAGGTGAAGGCAATTCAGCTGTGCTGCCGGAAGGGGTGGAGCCAGGCTCCATCTCTCCTAGACCTATTTAAGAGCCGGCTACCACTAGGGAAGGATCTCTTCTGGAGATTGGCTCTGCTGGAGTTTTGTGAGTGAGCCTAGGATAGTGGTGAGCCTTCTATTTATCCTCTTTTTGTTATCATAGTCTGCTTTGTCAAACTCTTGCTTATTTCATAATTATAGCACCTTAATATTCATTGATTATACAGTAGACACTTCTTAAAGGAAAAAGAAAAAAAATACTTTCTGTAATAGTGAAGATGTATATAAAATATATATAATTATATAAAGAGCATAAGACAATTATAACATAAGCATAGCACAACTCTTCTGAATTGCACAGGTCTACATCCCAGGTGAACTTGATCTGGTGTGTTTAAAGGGCTCTTTGCAAACTTCAGGACAGGAGTGATATTCTCAGTCTCACAGAAACACTGACGGGGCAGAGAATAATGAAGGACAGGGGAAAACATATACGTAAACACCTAAATCACACAATTCCAACCAAAAATAATTTTGCAAACATAATACCATCACCTATGGGAATGGCACCTGATACAAGCTACAAAGCAAAAACACCTATGCAAAATGAATGCAAGTAAAGAAACATAAACCTACCAGTGATGAATGTTGTATAAAAGCAGTACATTTGGGGGGAAAAAAAATGGTAATAGACAAAAATACGAGATGCAAAAAGTGCTCCCATGCACTACTGACAAACAAAGCCTGGGTTTAAGTTCGTTCTGCTTGAATTTTTCACAGAAACAAACTAAAGTTTGAAAACTTGTGCTGATGTTTATGTTACCTTTCTCATTTTCTTTTCCACTCATTGGAGCTTATGGCTCCTTCTAGAAGAAGCAGTTTTCTACACTTTACTAAGATCAAAACAAAATTGCATGATATTGTCCAGAATGAATGAACAGACAACATGTTTCAACATTCCAAAGGACTCAGCTGAAAGAATATATTTGGCTGTTAATTTCTCCAGGGAGCCAGAACAAGCCCCAGCTCCACTGAGTATTTCATGATTTGGGCATTTTTCCTGCTTCATTTCATTATGTTCACTTTTCAGATTTATGGAAAGACAGTCTAAAATCCAGGAGGGATTTGTGCATCAGAAAGGAAAAAAGGAGTTTGCTTTGGTTGCTAAATACTGGCTGTGCCAAGACTAACCACTGCCTAATCCCTTCAGTGCTATGAAGAAACACAAAAATGCCAATCTTGAAGGAAAATAGCCAAGGAGTTCTGCAGGGCCTGATGAGCCTGGTTCTCCAGGTTCACAGTAGCTTGGATTGAGCAGAAAAGGTAGACACAGTGTCCCGAGTGCTTCTCCTACACCTTCAACTTTACTATTAAGATATTATGAGACTAAAGCG